TACCATGAATTTCGATCCCCCATTCCAAACGTGAGTACCCCAGGCCATTTCCGTTACAATATTATGTGGTTTGAATATATTTTTTATTTTTGTGTTAATTTCCAGAATATATGGTACTGATATATGTCCGTATTTTAATGTGTGATATGATGAGGCTGTTGACGAACTGTAGTTGTTTTTTAAATTAATGAACTTTTTTTTAACTATCTGTTATTTTAGAAAAACTGGTGATGGTGGAAAAATACACCGAAACGTATTTTAATTGATAAATAGAGACAATAAATGACTGAAACCCAGGAATTAATTTTGATTTGGAACTGAAACACAGTCAGGAAAGTATATACAATTTAATTATTCTGTAAAGTAGCTTGAAGAGGGCAAAGTGCAAGCGTAGGAGTAATAGTTGGAAACTAATTATCACCAAATATTTTTAGGAACAAACTAATATTGACAACTCAATAAGCTAAAATTTGCTCAGTTAGAATATAAATAATAAAATAATTCAAATGCAGGATTAATGTATTTAAAAAATAGCTGAAAGTGATACTAAAAATTAATGAAGATCATTGGAAAATATTCTTTTACAACCCTCAAATTATAGATATGAAGTTTTCATCAAAATAATCAGTGAATTGAACCGATCGTGATTTCCTACACACTTGAATCGAGTGTTTCGCGAAAAACGGAGTATAGGGTGAAGTCTAATTTATTATACGATGAAGAGATGGGGAAAAGAAAAGAATTACTAGGCGGTAATTAATCGAGCCTCAATCGAAAGTTACTTAGTAGGAAAGTATATTATAACAAGAAACGGAATGCAGTGATTAGGGAGAATCTATCTTGAAACTAGGACGGCACCACAAGTTACACCATTTATCAATCCATCCTGAAAGCTAACCCTACACTCCCTTCGAGAGATGTGTTTTCTGTTGGTTTCCAGTAAATTTATTTACCCTGGATCGCTGGAAGTTCAAACAATATTTGAAAGTGCCCTGCTAAATAAGCCTTTCAACTGAATGTTGACTTATTTGTACCACTACAACCACAAAGTCTGAGATAAGTAACACTCGCACATCTCCCTTGACTTTCAGACATGTTTGAACATAAGAGCAACGAATGTTTTTCGCATGCTCCATTCTCTGTTTCGGCCGCTTACTTAGATGTAAAGTTTTGGTCTCGACGATTTATTTTCGGACTTAGGGAGTTGCCAGTTACAAATCGGCCTTACTGCCGACATTTGTCAATCGAATCCTCCCCGGTCTGATTCTTAGTTGAGGGAGATATAAAGGTTATGTTGGCATATATCACAAGCTTGTGGGGGAGTTTGGCGGTACTCCACATGACTGGACTTAAATCGTGTTGTCAGGAGAGTGATTTTCAATCGTGATGAGTAATGGCCGATATTTTATTTTTGGGTATACGAAAATTTGTTTTGTAGGCTTCCGTAATGGGCTCAATATTTTAGAATTTTATGGGACTTTGATTCAAAGCGCCCTAAAATACTGCGAAAAACTTGAAACGCATGGAAGAAACGCAAGAAATCATCAAGTTGGATTTGTCAGCTAGTTATTAGTATCTATAAACATTCCAGGAAATTGAGCAAATATTTGTCACACTCTAAACGAACTTTTTTGGTGTCCGGAATCGTAAATATGCCTAAAGCCACCGGACCTAAGGTTTTCCGTCGATAGTAGGTCAGGGTACAGCAAAACTCGGGAATAAATTCTGGATAGTGGATGACCACACACAAATATTACATAGTTTTTGCTTTGACTTGTAACCGTTTGAAAGCATTTGCCAATTTCATATTACACTAAAATACCCATGCCCAAACCAAGACAGTGCGAATTAGGGATGGCAGAAAAACATCGATGTTTCGCAAACATCGATGTAATTCGTTCCATGTTCGATATTTTTACCATCGATGTTAGAAATTTGGGACATCGATAAAACATCGATGTTATATCCTGAAACAAAAACATCGGATATTGGATGTTGATATTGATAGAAACATTTTCTGCACACTCTTTGATAGTGGCGATACAAACGATACCGCGGCATAGCGGCGTATTTCCAGCTGCACCCGAAAAAAACCTCTTTTTGCAGTCATTTGACCGAAAAACATGGCAACCATAAGTTGAATAAATTTTGTCGATAATTTAATGTCATAGTAGTAGTAAAATAAAATTATTTAAGTTTTCCTAACATCGATATTACCATCGATGGTTACCATCCATGTTATAGGATCGATGTCCCAGCCCCAGTGCAAATCCTGGTCGGCTCATAATGCTCGTATCGCAACTAAGCAATTTCCTGCACATTAAAAAATTTCTCTTTGGGGCAAATGGAATGGCACCGAATATATTCACATAATATCCTACAGAATGTATGCAGGATGACTCTAAAATGTACACCATTCCATCCATACACGAATCACGGAGAATCCGAGAAACAAAGAACACATTTGGGTGAAAACATAGAACATATTTTAGTGTAAAACTGAGACATTGATAAAAATGTGAAAGTGATTTGAGGAACAATGGCGACTTTCCTTGGATGAATAATCAACCACGCCAGCTTTTTCTATCATAGATTATTTTTACATGGTTAATCCGGAAAACACTGTATTTGAGATATTATAATAAGGCCACATAGTTGGAAGCTGGTTATGGAAAATAAAGTAAATCTCATATGATTGAACGGGGCCATAAATTTGTTGTAGCCGAAAATGTAACAAATGATGTTTTAATGAACTTGAATTAAAAATTCAAGGCACATGGCAAATAAGAACATTTATGAGCCGACGAAATATTTTCTAATTAAGGTTGCATTAAATTGTTCCTAGTGTAACTTTTATCACAGTTTGAAAAAGATACTTGGTACCTCAGACCATAAATGTCGAGTAAAATTACATTTAGTCCTTGATGAAGTTTACCTATTTTTATTTGTGCTTGGGCGATTTTTTTATATGACAAAAACAGCCACATTATTTTATTAATTTGACAATCTCTTTGGCATAGAAACGCGAAAAAACGTACCAACAGAACTGACAAAAACTATGGGCAATAAAAATGTAGTGCTTCTGTGGGCTAAGCGAAAAATTAAGGCAAATATTTCCTTCGTATGATAATCTGTCCATTTGAGGTGTGCAATTATCGAAAAATTACAGCGGTAATTGCACAGTGTGCAATTATCACTCAACGATAATTGCATTGTTTACAAAAAATATTTGACAGGTGTCTTTTCATGTTGAATTAGACATAAAATGCCTTCCTGACATACCTAAGATATTCAAATTATATTTAATAAACATAAGTAATAAAATTAAAAGTGTAATAATATATAATAGAAATAAAATGAATCCACATTAACTTTGTTTACTCAGGAAATATTCATAAAAATTACACTCGTGCATCAAAATAAACAGATAATTTT